GAACACAAGCAAGATGGATTATTTGTCAGCTAGCATTCTCAAATCCTGACATCACAGTTATCAACAACAGATAAGCAAGATAGTAAATAAGAATTAAGTTATTTTAAAATTATATAGAGCATGTTCTTCTAGGAGAAGAGAGACCATTAAAAAAAAAAAAAAAGGGATTTTTCCTGAGAAAACAATTCACATTTGGGAAGAAGAACCCTTGAATTTCAGAATCTCCGACTTCTACAGAATTCTGCATTAAGCCATAACAGCATAAGATAAAAGATATATGCAACACCTCGAATAAATAATGTAAAATATATTTGTCATTATTACAAAAGTAGATGCTTCAAAAAAATGAATTTGGGTGAGGATCACTAGGGCACAGTAATAAAGGTCCCAGATATGTGGCGCAGAACATTGCCATGTAAAATTATCTCAGCAAGTCTAAACAGCACAGATGCCGAGCACTCAAGAATCTCCCCTCCTCTCCCTATTTCATATATGTTTCGCTCTGGGTTACATTACAACCAGTGAGTTGTTGTGAGTATTATGCATTTGCTAGCAGAATTCAGTTAAATTCATTTGAGGTGAGGGAGAATAGTTAAGAAGCTCTTGACAAGAAACCAGTCTCCAACACACAGCACATGATTTCCTGTCTCATGCAGTCTAGTTACATACGAATATAAAATGTTTCCTATTTCAATCCACAAATTACCACCATCCATAGTCAGAAAAGCAAAACAGTACACACTCTCCAAGGTTCACTTTGCCTATACAACACATACAAAAGCTGGTATCAGTTTCCAGCAGCCCCACCACCAGCAGAATATTCTAAAACCTACCTAGACCTTGATAAAACAGATGTGCAAAAACAAGCTTAGAAAGAGTTTAAGAATTATGTTAGCACACTGATGTGCTAAACCACCTGATAATAATCTTTCAGATGCAAACACGTTAGCCTTGTGATAAACAATGAATTATTTATGTGTAGTTTAGTTCACTTGGTCTCTCAGGACATGAATTAATACGGAAATAAAAAATGAATCTAAAGTTCTTCCCCTTCACACCATTTAGAAGAAAAATTAGCAAAAGCCTTACTGACCTGTCCTCCAAAAGAAGAGATACTAGGCCTCAGAAGAGTTGAAACGACAGGATAGGAGAAAGTTTAAACTCGCATCTTGGTTTTCTGTGAATTCTGCATGCCTGTTTTCCCCTCTTCTCCTTACTTTGCTACCAAATGCTCAGTGAACATCAATCAGCCCTTATCTTGAATAAGTTCTGTGACGGACACCACAGCTGAACTCCCAGCTCCACTCAAACCACTGATTTCTATGCATTAACTAAACATACTACTAACTACAATTCTAAATTTAGGTTAAGATGTCTTTCATCAGAGAAACAAAAAAAAAATGCTGTTCAAAAAAAATGATGATGGAGAATAATTTATGATAAAAAACAATTTTGTGACAGCATAACTTATTTTCGTTGTTAGATAACTGTTGAGTTTCTAACTAATGCAGCCTGTAAAAGACCCCTGAACAAACAGCTTAGTCTACGTAGAAGGAATCAAAGAATAACTTGACTATATACCAGCATCAGCTACTGCTAGAACATGATAAAGCTTAAAAACTAACAAAACACACACGCCTCTCCTTAGCTGTAGAGGTTGAAAGATATCACAACACTGACCCATGAAGAAATCTGTTGGGTCATGACAGATTCAGATTTCCTCAGATTTAATTTCTGCTTGTTTCTCACTAGTCACCTTATTTAACCAAGATCATCAGGAGCATTACCATATACATACAAGCAAACTTGACAGCTGCTGAACTCTCACAGATGTGGGAAGGCATCTCTGAGCTGTCAACACTAAACTAACTAAAAAAAAAAAAAAAAATGAGGTTTATAATGCAGCTAAGTGTACTCGACTTCCATAATATTTTATTTATATACTTTTGAGACAGTGTTTGATATGGAATTAAGGTGGTTAGGTCATTGGCTAGATCAGTTTCATATGTCTGGATTTACCATAGGCAGCTTTAAGCAGTAAGACGCTGGACAGAAGAGAAACAAAACCATTCAGGGGAATTTTGTTAAAATGAGTTCAATTAGAATAAACCTTTTAAACAAAGAAAGTGAGAAATTCACTTCTGGAATTTCATATGTAGAAAATAACACGGCCTATTGCAAATAGTGGGAATACTTAAGTATGCTCTAGGTGGCATGTGCAGGGGTGTTGGACTAGATGATCTCTAAAGGTCCTTTCCAACCTTAAGGATGCTATGATTCTATGATCCTACAGTATACTCAGCTGTGATTACTAGTCTTTAAGTGAGTTCTTAGTGAAACAGGAAACTGATGCTATTTAAGAAGATATGTGTACACCTCAATACTAAAAATTAATGAGTCTTAAGCACTGTCCTAATTACTGCATGATATTTTTCTAGGTTATCAATCTGAAAACAAGAGCTACTTTACTTCCTGAATTATTTACAAATACTGAACAAAATTAAAACTTAAGCATGTGCTTTAATCACTTAGATTTTTAAAAATCAACTTTAAATAAAAGAGGCCAGCTATTACCAGCAGCAAAACCAATACATAGTTACTTTTAAATGTGAGATAGCATATCTATAGAATTAATACTCAGCCCTTGCAGTTCATTCAGTGAAAGTAGTAGTTAATGTTTTAGTGTTCAATATTTAGTAAAATACAAGTAGGAAGTTAACATGAAAAAATCCAAGATATATGGAATTGGTGAATATCTGTCGGCTGATTTTCAATTTCATCCCCTAACTAGGGCTATTGGAGACCACAATTTACCGGCACGTTAAAGAGCAGTCTTTTCTCACAGGAAAATAAGGGAGATGAATGCAGTGAATATGCCAAGAATAGAGAGAATGTGGTTGTGACTCACAGCAGAGTTCAGCTAGAAATCCTTAAGAACTTTCTTACTAAATCACTTACACAACTTATGTGCCACACTTTAGCCTCCTCTCCCTATGAAAGTAGCAACAGCTCATCTTCTTCAAAGCTATGCACAGAGGACAGATCTTCAGAAACCGAGGTATTTTTGACACTATAATTTTAAAATATCAGTACTTTCCTGTTACTATGCACAAACAATAAATGAAAACTTTAGTTGTCTCAAAAAGTTTCACATAAAGAATATTTGAATACGAAAGTATACGCACTTATTGAAAATAGGAGATTATGTGGTAAACTGTTACACAGATTAAGTCCTTGCTACTGTCAAATCTATCTAAAGCTCCTAAAATAAATATACCCTGTTCCACCTAAAACATGTGACCACCTCACAAAGGTAATATCCACAGTAGATAACTTGGACATCATCTCAATTAATAGTGCACAAAAAACATCCAGCAACTTTTGAATGCATCCACTTTTATTTGTATCAACACTTCCATATGTAAAAAAATAGTTTCTGATTGTATCTAGAGTACCCAATTCCATTTTTGTTTCTAATCTTAACGCTTATAAGAAAGTTACAATTCCATTCAGTATTTAGAACTGCAAAAGCGTCATTTTAAAACAAAAGAATTCCAAGTTGCTGCCAACTTGTTTCCCGTCAGACACCTGCTAAAAAACAATGCAAACACACAACCATGCCTATTCAAAACAAAAGCAAAGCATGCAAGTTATTACTGAAGTAAAAAAGTACTGTTTGAATTAAAAAGTATATCAACTCTTTACTAGCAATGAGCCTCAAAGAAGAGCCATTAATTTCCAATCAAAACAATACTGAGAAAGTATTTGAAAATGATGCTGATGAGACAATACGATTTTCAAATTTCTGGAGAATGAGAACAAAATTGTCCTTCCTATATATGCATAGGAGTGTGATGCATGACAGGAACAGTATATTGAATTACTAAATACACAGCCTTACAGTTCTCTCCCTTCTAACCAGTTTAATACTTTCAGGATTCAAGGCAGGCAACTAGAGCTTGGGGGACCCATCACATCTCAAAGTATACCCTCTCAGAAGGGCTTTAGGTTAAGGCCTTCAGCTTACTCTCATATACACCAAATGGAGACAAAGCAAACACCTATCATCAAGAAACGTGGCTATTCATACAGGCACATTATTTAAGAGCTTCACATACAATTGTTCAGTACCAATTTGGATTGTTCTAGGTAGTCACATGCACATTGAATTGGCAAATACTGCTTTATATAACTGGAACAAGCTACGTAGTTGTCCAACCAATCCACAATTAAAAAACAACGACAACAAAAAAAACCTTATTTGGCTTTAAAAAAAGGAACACTCCTAATTAACTATTCATTCATGTCCAACATTTAACTTATAGATGAAAAAACGCAACAAGATGGACAAATTCTAAAATAAAAAGAGGCTTGGAATTTTAAAGAGGTATAGACATATTTACTCAATACACATTATTCAGAGATTAGACTTCCTAGAAACACCTATCAAAAGATGGCCAAAAATCCTATTTCATAATTTGTGCTGCTTAGCATGTTCATATGGCAAAAAAAAAAAAAAAAATAAGGAGCTCTGAAAATGAATATAGTTTTACCATATATGGGTCATCATTCTATGAAAACACAAAGCAATCATTTAATTATTTCCAGCGACCCTGAAGAAGTTTGTTATGCTTGAGGTTTTCAATTTAACTAATATACAGACCTCTCAAAACCTTGAGTAAGGAGAAAAACATATTTTCCTCTCGATCTGAATTAACACCGTTGAACTTCGGGAGCTCCTGAAAAGTCAGTATGTCTTTGTAAAACAGTATCTTTTCATTTAAAAGAAAACAAATTGATGGCAATGGAAACAGAACACGTATTTAATGGAAATGAGCTGCTCAGGAAGTTGTCAAAAGAATAATTTCGTCAGCAGAGGCAAACCGCACACATACGAGTTTTCAAACCCAAAACTTCATGAAAACTTAAAGAAAACGCACGTATCTGGAGGCGAAGCGCCCTGCGCAGCCGGGCAGCAGTAGCCCTACGCACAGCCTTACCTTCGATGTTCAGCTCGAAGCAAACGTGGCAGAACGAGAGCGTTTCCCTCTCCGTGCCCAGCTTGCAGACGCTGCAGACGTTGTCATCGTTCAAGTCGATGCTCACGAACTGCTCTTCGTTCATAGTGCCCTGCGGAAGGGCGGTAAAGCAAACAAACGAAAACCGTTATTTCTAACGTTGATATCACCAACGTGAGGACGGGGCCGCCCCCGAAACGCCCCAGGCGCCTCGCAGT